CGGGAGCGCTGAATTGTCTGAAAGCCGGCTTCCCTGGTGGGACTCAGCGCCATCAGACGCAGTGTCTCGAGGGAGGGCTCGGGGCCGGGAGGCGGTTGGAGGTTTCACCACAGGGACGCTGGCTGTATGAGCACTGGGCTGCAGCGAGCTGCAGCTGCAGCCTGGTGGGCCCAGAGCAAGCTGTGGTCTGGAGCTCATCCCGCCCTGGCAGGGAGGGCGCTGGGCAACAGCCATGTTGGAGTCTGAAGCCCCTTGTCACCCATCCTGTCGGTAGCGTTCTGCATGGCTGACTGGAACAGAGTCTGCTGGCTTTGCAGGTGCCCCCTCGCGCAGAGGAGATCACAATCCCGGCTGACGTCACCCCCGAGAAGGTCCCCACACACATAGTGGACTACTCAGGTAGGGCCCCATCCCTCCTCACTCCCTGCCAGCCTCGCTTTTCCACTGTTCTGGCCGGCTGAGGGGAGTGGGAAGAGGTCCCTTCTGCTGGGGATGGTTGGTGACAGCTCTCTTCCCCGTCCAGAGTCGGAGCAGACGGAGGATGAGCTGCAGGAAGAGATTGCTAAGGTGAGCAGGGCTGGACGGGGGTGTTGCGAGGCAGGAGACTGCAGTGCCCATAGCCCTGCAGCCAGCAAGTGACACGTGGCTGCTGGCTCTCCCCGTTAGCCACCCAGAGATGCACAGGCAGTTGGTTATCTGTGGATTAATGCTGTTGGTTTGTTTAGAGGTTTGTTTAATCCTTCTCTGTCTTGTAAGCTGTTGTATGTGGCTTGTCCTAGCCCTTCGGGGAGCCTCCAGAAGGAGAGTGGTGGGGGACAGCTCGCTGCACATCGGGAGGTGGAGGAGGCTGCCGAGCAGATGATGTGCTCTTAGCCTCGGGGTGTTCCCGACGGACTCAGAAGAGGGGGGAAGCATTTGCTGAGCTTGGGCAAGAGCCCCTTGCTCCCTGCATTAGGTCTCTGGCTGCCTGATGAAGCAGTGGCACAGAGGATTTGGCTGGGGAGCTGGAGCCCCAGGGAGCGCTGGGCAGGCAGGAACGAGGGCTCCCACATCCCTTGGAGCAGTCATGGAGGAATAATCCAGCCGGCTGGCTGGGGTGGGCCCAGCTGCTCTTCTCTGCCCTGGGATTAACCTCAGCTCTGCACAGAGGAGGACCTCTTGGTTATGGGTAATAAAACTGTCTCTCCTCTGTGCGTCTCATGTGAACAAAGCTATTTAATCTCTCCACCTCAGTGGCTAACGGGCAGGGAGGTGGGCCAGCGGGCACGGGGGTCCTGCTCCCTCCGTCCAGACGGCATGAATATGCAGAGGCTTAAAATGGCTCCAGGAAATCCTGCCTAAACCCTCGTGTGTCCTCAGGATTAGCACTGAACTCTCTCCTGAAAGGGCCAGTGATCCCTCCAGTCTGCCACGAATAAAGCGTTGGTGTTAGCACTGTCTGCACGGGGTTCGGGAGGGGAAGAGGCCAGCGGCCGCCGGCCAGGCGTGGGGCACAGGCAGAGCCGTCGTGGGGGGACAGCGAGGTGTAGGAGCAGGGAACCGGGGTGTCGGGCGGGGAGGAGATGTGCTCATGGCAGCTCCGTTGGCAGGGCTGAGGCAGAAGAGCAAGACTTTGCTCCAAGCAGCCCGTTGTAGAGCTCATGTTGACAGCGGGCGAGTGGCCGCCATCAGAAGGCTGTGCGTACGTGTACACGCTCACGCGCCCTGCCAACGTGGTCTGTGTGGTATATGATGTCACCAAGGAGGCCACGATCGAGAAGGTAACGGGTCCCGTGCCGGAGCCCTGAGCAGCCCGGCTCCGGCAGCAGCGCCGGAGGGGAAGGAGTTCCCAGCGCTGGGTCCTTCCCGGCCGCTGTTTGGTGTGGGTGGGTACTGATGCCCCCCAGCCCTGCAGGGGATTTGGGGTTTGAGACCCCTGCAAGCAGAGGCAGGCTGAGCACAGTCCAAGCTTACTCCTACACTGGCTGTTGTCCTCACGTGCTGGGGGACAACAGGCTTGTCACATCCTTCTGCTGGCACCCAGCAATCCCTGGGTTTGCTCTGCCTGCTGGTGCGGGGGAACGCCGGGGAGCAGATGGCTGCAGGGCCCTGCTGACTGCCACAGCGCACGTGCTGGGAGCTGTGCTGGGAGCTGCCTCTCCCTCCCTCCCCAGGCTGTGCTGACAGGCCTTTCCCTGTGCTCGCCTTTCAGATTCGCACAAAGTGGATCCCCATGGTGAACGGGGGACTGGAAAAGGGCTCCAGGTACCGTGTGCGGCGTGGATACAGAATTGGGGGATTTGGGGGGGCTGTGGGGTGTCCATCACCCTCATCTTCTTCTGAGGTTACTGAGATCAAACCAGCTTTGTGGCTTTTTTCCAGACTGCTTGTAGCAGAAGGACGTGGGGGCTTTTGTCCCTCACAGATCTAGCAGAGGCAGAGGGCCATGGGTGAGGGTTCCTTCCCCCCTTGATCGCTTCTCAGCCGGGCAGGGAGAGGAGGCTGCTGAGGGAGCATGGGAGCACAGAAGCCGCAATCTGTGTGTGGATCGCTTAGGCAGAAGGCTGCTGTGCTGGATTAAAGGCTCCTGAACATATTGTTGCTGGGTGAAAGCGTAAGCGGGATCAGGCAGTCTGTTGCTCCAGATGGATGCTCCCAGCCGTGGGAGGCAGGAAAGCTGCTCTGGCCCTTGCGGAGGAGGCTGGGGAGGCTCCCCCCCCTCCTGCCTGAGAACATGCCTGGCTGGGGCAGGGCCGAGACCAAGAGAGGGCTGGGCTCGCTCATGCTCTCTGACACTGCGTCTTTCTTCCCCAGGATCCCCATTATTTTAGTAGGAAACAAGTCTGACCTGCAAGTGGGGAGCTCCATGGATGTCATCCTGCCCATCATGAACCAGTTCTCGGAAATCGAGACGTGCGTGGAGGTGAGGGAACTGGAAGGTTTCTGCTAAGCCTCCCTGAGGGGTAGGAGCACTTGTCTGGCATGAGCCAGGGAGCCTTCCTGCTTGTGGAGGCCTGCCCTGCTAATGTTGCTCTCCAGAAGTAGCCCTGTCTGGGAGGGCCTGTGCTTTAGGCTTTCTGTCCTTCACCCTCCTTGCAGGGAGTGGGCGTCAGTGTCTGCCCACTCTGGCTCTCTGGCAGCAACTGGCGTAGGAGCTACATGCAGCCCCTGTTGGCTCTGGGGCTGTGGAGTGGGCTCAGCAAAGCCAGAGCACAAGCAGGAGGTTTCCCTTTAGTTTCTTCCTAGTGGTGGACAGACATTGCTCTGTGCTTTGACGCACAACTTGTCTGGCTCGGGGAGCTTCTGTCATCCTCCTCCTGCCCCTTGTCACCAGCCTATCGCCTGTCCCCGCTCACAGGGCTGTCTGTTCCTTTGAATCCCCAGTGCTCTGCCAAGAACCTCAAGAACATCTCTGAGCTCTTCTACTATGCCCAGAAAGCTGTGCTGCACCCCACTGCCCCCCTCTACGACCCAGAGGAGAAGCAGGTAGGAAGTGCTGCTTGCAGCTCTGGAGGAGTCTCCTTCCCGTCCCAGCGCTCTGGTCTGGTGCTCTGCTTTTGCCCCCGGGTAGGAGAGTGGAGAGTTTGGGCCAAGGCAGCCAGGTCAAGGCGAGGGTGGTACCCCTGGGGGTAGCTGACAGGAAAACACCCATCTGCCATGCTCAGCCCAGCCAGCTGAGCGTATCCGGATCAGAGAGATCTGCAAGGAACCGGGACATGTTGGGGCAGAAGCCCTCGTGCTTCAGACTCTGTGGCAGCCATGGTGGGAAGGGTGCAAGAGAAGACTTCCCTATGGGCTGTTCTGCTTTGGACTCCCACCTCCAAAGTGGCGGTGGTACTGGCCTGGCTGGACCGTGTTCCCAGCCAGTGTGGGAAGGGAACACCTCTGCACACGGGGTTTCAGGAGGCAGGAGGAGGGGCCGGTCTGAAGCTGATGTCCTGTTTTGGTCACTGTGGTTGGTCCCTTGCAGCTGAAACCTGCATGTGCACGCGCACTGACCCGGATTTTCAACCTCTCGGACCAGGATAACAACCAGATCCTTAGTGATGATGAACTCAACTACTTCCAGGTGGGGCTGGCTGCAGAGCTGAGGTATTCACCAGTCCCTTGTGGAAAAGCCCCGGGGTCCGCTTTCCTTCCAGTGCCAGGCAGAAGGGCTGCCCCTCTCCTGACACAACCGTCCTGTTTGTGTTCAGTTATTCCACTGCTGCACAGCTAAAGCACTGTAGGGTGCATCTAGGAGCACGTGGGGGATCCACAGGTCTTCCATCTTCACTAAGCTTGGGCCAGGTTTGCGGTGCAATTGGAAGAGCAGGAGGCTGGGGAGATGTTGATAGTCACATGTTACTGGGATGCTGAGGAACAGCGGTTTGGTCAGGGTCCAAGGCAGTAATGACTTAGCTGGGTGGATTTTCTCTGCTGGAAACACTGTCTCCGTGCTGGGGGAGAGGGATGCTGGTGAGACAGGGGGTTGTGCTGTCTGTGTGCTTTGCTGACGACGACCTTCTTTCTCTTGGGAGGTAGAAGTCCTGCTTCGGAAACCCTCTGGCTCCCCAGGCCCTGGAGGATGTGAAGATGGTTGTGTGGAAGAACACCACAGACGGGGTGCAGGACAACGGCCTGACGTTGAATGGTAACAGCACAAGGGCTCCATGTTCCTTCCCAGCAAGGGAAGGAGGGAGCCATCTCCTTGGGCACGTTGTGAGGGCCACTGTCCTTGAGCTGAGCCTCTTGGCTCTCAATCCAAGCCTGATTAGGACCTCTTGTCAAAGCAAGCCTGAGCCTGCTGTGGCTGCTAGAGCTCTCTGTCCAAGCAGCCTGTTTTCCCAGGGAAAGCACGATCCTGAGGAGTGGATCCCTGAGGCTGAGTGCTCAGCTGGCCCTGCTGTGTCTGAACCACCCAATCTCTCCTGCAGGCTTCCTCTTCCTCAACACACTCTTCATCCAGAGGGGCCGGCACGAGACCACATGGACCATCCTTCGCCGCTTCGGGTACGACGACGAGCTGGAGCTGACGGATGACTATCTCTACCCACAGTGCGTATCCTGCCATGGAGTGGGGCGGGCAGGGTGTGACATCCTTGTGGTGCGCAACTTGGCCTCCCCAGCGTCTTTGGCTCCTTTCTGCACCCTGGCGTGTACTGTGTTCCTCAGCTGAGGCCGAATCCGCCTCCTTAGCTCACGGTCAGGTTCTTGGTCCTCACCTTCCCCTGTGGACAGGAGCTGACACAGGGGGTTGGTGACAAATACAGTGGGCCTTGGAGCTGCTGACTGTTGCTGGCACTGGTGGAGTTGGGGAGTGAAGGCCTGTCCCTGACTTCCCGTGACATCAGCAAGGGGGTTTTGAAGGCTGTCTGTCTCTGCCTGAGCTGAGGCAGAACGGCTCTGTCGGGAGCAGCAAGCTGTCAGCGTAGCGCTCCCGGCTGATTCTGCAGCTGCTGTCTCTTCTCTGCTCCCTGCCACCCCGGAGGTGGTGATCTGGCAGTAATGAAGGGGTTTGGCTTGTGAGCTGCCTCATCCTCTCCCCAGGCAGCTGGCTGCGCGGGGAGGCGACAGGGCCTGGGCTGGTGGAAAGCACCCCGGGGCTAGTGCTGTGCCCTGCTGAAGCCCTGGGCACGAGGCAGACCGAGGGCTACATCATCTCCCAGGCTGCTTGGGCAGCGCGGATATGCCGAGGAGAGGCCGCTGTGCACCCTGGAGGGCTTCTCCCCAAAGCAGGGGGCTGTGTCAAGGAATAGCCAGGCCTGCAGATGACCGCTGGGTGGGGAGCTGTGTGCTCTGAGTGAGATCTGGTTTGTCCAAAGACCCATTCACATGCTGCTCTTCGTTCAGGGCTTGACGCTCACTTGGGTCTCTTCTGACAGGTTCCGCCTTCCCCCCGGCTGCTCCACGGAGCTCAACCACTTGGGCTACCAGTTCCTGCAGCGGCTGTTTGAGAAGCAGGAGAAGGTGGGCAGCGCGCGGTGGAGCTGCCTGGGGAGGGGATGCTCTCTGCTGGGCCTGCATGCTTGGGGGTAGCTGCTCTCCTGTCCACCTCTCTGCGCCAGGGAGCAGACGTAGCGCCGGCAAAGGGCTTTCCTCTGCCACAGCGCTCCCTTCATGGCTTCTTGCCGAGGCTCTGGAAGCAGGAGGTGGTCACTGCAAGCTGCAGGTAGTCTGATGGCACATCAAGGGCCTGGGGTTGTGGTCGCTGCCCTTGACCAAAGGGCAGCCGGTAAAGTTTGGGCCTTCAGGGGATGGGTTGGAGCTAACATCAGACTGGCGTAGCCCCTCGTGGTGCCTGGCTGCAGCACGCAGGGTGGCAGGGAGAGCGGGCACAGCTGCTGGCCTGCAGCCACGGACCAAGCACAAGCATCTGCGTGGCCGTCAGCCCTGTGGAGGGGGTGCCAGGCCAGAGAGAGGGAGAAAGCAGCTGATTTGTGCTGTGCTCTGGCTCTTTGGAGAGTGGGAGAAGGGGATGTACTGGGTCTGTATGCACCTGCTCGGACTAGTTATTCAGATGTTGATGTGCACCTGGGGTATGGCAGCTCTGTGGCCACGGGGAATTGCAGCACGAAGTCGATGCACGTCCCTGTGTGCCCAGAAGCCAGCAGATCCTCTGTGGCATGGCCCTATGGCACACCAGCCTGGAGGAGCTGCCTTGGAGTGTGGTTAGCTGGTGGCCAGCAGCGCGCCGCTGCATGCAGACCTTGGGTTAGTTACCCCGCAGTGTGGAGGGCCAGGCTGGAGCGACACAGGCTGCTGCTGGGCAGCTGGCCCCAGGGAACCTCAGGGCTGCGGGGCGAGTGTGGATGGGTCCTGCCCAGTAGCAGGGCCAGCACTGGTTCCAGCCGCAGTCGCAGAGCAGAATTGGCCTGTCTCTTGTGCAGTGATTGGAGTCCCTGGGGCACAGGCTGCCCGCACGCTCACGCAGCTCCGGCCTTGCTTGCAATTGATTTCTGCCATTGAAAGCATCCCTGTGTCATTCTGCAGCAGCGAGCAGGGTGGCTTGTGTGCTGGGGACCCTCTCTGGACCCCAGCAACGCTTGATGTGGCTGCGGGGAGCTCTGTGTGCCCTGGGGCCCCGAGCTCTACAACACGGTATGCACCACTGATAAAGGCCTGCTTTCCCTGCATGGATTCCTCTGCCAGTGGACGTAAGCTCAGTCCCTCTTCCCTGCCTTTAGTCACATCGCGTAGCCCTTGCTGACCTTACCGGCTTCCCGGTGCGCTCTGTCTCTCCAGGCTTGTGGCTTACCTGGATGTGCGGCACTGCCTGGAGTGCCTGGGCTACTTGGGCTCCCCCATCCTCTCGGAGCAGGACTCCCAGACACAAGCCCTCACGGGTACGGCCATGCCCGCCTCGCGGTGAGTGGCTGCTCCCCTCTCCGCCGCGCTGCGGCAGGGCGTCCTGGCGGAGCAGGAGGCAGAGCCGAGAGGCCATTGAGCGATCTGCCGCGTGACGGCATCTTGCTGCCCGTGGCCAGGCCCCGGCAAATGGCTTCACACCCCTCTCCGTGCCAGTGGTGCCGGTTGCTGTGGCTCTCGCGTCCTTGATTTTGCCTAAGGCAGCGGGCCCAGTCCCCTCTGCTTTTCCCGATGATCTGGAGGGTTGTGCCTTTCCCGGGCAGCCGTATCTCCCCGAGGTGATGCCAGCTTTCCCTGCTTGTTACGAACGGCACCGAGCCTCGTGGCAGTCACCAGCTGCCCTTCAGGTGGCTGTTCCACCGCGGGGGCTCGGGGCAGGGTGAAGCGCTCTCCCTCCCACAAGCACTGCTCTTGCTCCCTGCTGTCTGAGACAGTGTTTTCGTCGGTGGCAGGCCCAGAGGGAGACCCCAGGAGAGCCGTCCCTCTACGCGATCAACACGGTGCAGGTCAACAGCCAGGAAAAGTACCTTATAGTAAGTCAGGGAGAGGAGGGAATCGCCGCTGTGTCTGGCTCACAGCGGGGCTGGGCTGCGTCCCCCCGTATTGCTGCAGCGCTATCCTGGCACCGCTGGGCTCGGCTGTGGTTGCGGTCACGGTGGCGCGGTCTGTGTGCCGGTGTGAGGAGCAGCCGATCTACTCGAGACGGTGCTGTGCCGCGCATCTGTTCCTCTCCTGCCCCAGCTGTATGAGGTCAGCGCTGACACAAAGTTTGTGAAGCCGTCGGATGCAGCCTGCGATGTCGCCTGCTTCATCTACGACCTGAGCGACCCCAGATCCTTCAGCTACTGTGCCGGTGTTTACAAGGTAGCTGGCAGGGGCCCTGTGGGACTTCACTTTGCATGGCAGCCCTGCGTCTCCCAGGGTTCGGTCGCTTACCCCTCGCTGGGACTTCTCCCTGTCTCTACAGCAACACTACGTGGACAGCCAGATCCCCTGCGTCTTCGTGGCCTCCAAGACAGACCTGCCAGAAGCGAGTCAGCAGCCCGGGCTCTCCCCCGCCGAGTTCTGCTACAAGCACTGCCTCCCGCCGCCCTTCCGCTTCTCCTGCCACGGCCAGGGCCTGCCTGGCACCACCATCTACACCAAGCTGGCCACCGCCGCCACCTTCCCGTTAGTATCCGTACCGCGGAGGGGGCTCTCGGCTGGGGGCCGAGCGTGGGGGGAGGG